AATACATTGAATAAGTCTTTCGACAAAACTGAGAAGCGAAAATAATTACCTACACATGTAGGTACTAGATAATATTTTATTACCCTAGATAGAGTACCTATCTATACCTAGTGTAGTCTTGTATATTTAATTACACACAATAAAATGTTTAAACAACAAAACGCAATAAGTAATAATAAAACGCATTCTGCCAATATATATTATCTATGGCCAGGTTGTAATTCTTGGTATGCAACCTCCTTGGAGTGTGAACGCTACCGTTTGACATTTGATTGACAATGTCTATAATTTTGCATCATTTCAATATTATGACGGTTCCGTAATAATAGTTCGCTTTCAAAGCCGTGTTATAAAGGAAAATGGTGGCTGCTTTTTGAATTCTTGATATTATAATTCTTAGTTTGAATATGTGTGTGGATGTGTTAGTGTTTTTTTTTTCTTATTTTTTTTAAACTGGTCAGTTACTTATTGTTTACTATAATTAGCTTTCCGTAAATGGTAAAAATGTAATAAATATTTTGACTTAGGTACTAATTAAGTCTGTTATTAAAAACGAGTACAATTTACTTTCCAAAATCCATACTTTAACGTGTGATATTTGGCAAAACGCTTCTTTGACTAGCTTACAACAGACAACATTCCTACAAGAACACTTCTGTCTACCCTTCGGGGAATTGAAAATATCATAACGTGAACTTGCATCAATATTTTCTTACTTTCCTTTACAAAATCAAAGCGTAAAGTAGAATAAATCGACGAGCTACAGGTTTGCAAATAACGGCCCATATTATGTTACACATTGGTTGCAAGCGACAACGATTGGATAGAGTTACAACTTATAACTATCTATAAATAAATAAAAATGTATAACGGCCATTTAGAACTACATACGTCAAAATGTCTCTATTTAGTTGTCAAATGAAAGTCTATAATTGGGTACAATTGTCAACGAGTCAAATTCAATACTCTTTTCCAACTGTCAGAAACGAAAGTTTTCTATGAATTTTGTACGAGTTTGTGTATTGTGACGTCACGTTTTTTAGCGTCTAACAGCATACTCAATTCGTAAAATTTTTTGCTGGAAAAATATATACTAAAATTAAGTTGGTCATAAAATCAATGAATTTTTTAATATTTTATTGTATTGAACAGTCGAAATAATTTTTGTTTGACTATGGAAAATATTCAATTATGACAGTTGTTACAGATAGTATAGTCTATGGTTAAAAGAAAACTGTCATGTCAAAGCAGATGTTTACTCCTTTTTTCCACTCTATTTATTAAGTGACAGTTTTATAGATATGGTAAAGGGATAGTAGGGATAGTAGGGATAGTAGTAAGGATAGTATATGGTATAGGGTTCAGCCAATAGTTTTTGGTGCAGCCAAACTAACCTTCGTGATTTGTTCAACTACATTTTACAGTTGTATGTGCCTAAGTATACTTACTGAGTCGTAACCAGTCTGTGATTGAAAAACTCAAAGAAAATGGCAAATTATCTGATATAGGTATCAATGTTAATTCTAGTCGATAACTACATCAAAGAAACAATAAATAATATTTCTGTTGACAGATCTGTTACCATAAATAATCGCTTGTCTATTACAGAAGTCAGAGTTAAAACAAAAAAAAACATACACTAATTAATTTATGAATCGATTGATTCTGATTGTAATAATTTTATATACTTATGCATTTGATTATACACAAACTCACGTACAATTGATTGTTAAAATGTTAATTAGATAGATTAAGTACTCATAACTATTATATTAAGCTATGATAAAATATTGTTAGTTAAAATATATGTGAATTTGAACTTTATTTTCATGGCAGTAACAGTTACATGTTTACTATCAAGTGGAATATATTTCGAGATTATTATGTTTATATACTCCAATGGTTGATTAATAGTGAAAGTATCTAAGTACTTTTTATTAAGCGAACAACATTATTTCCTGTACTGTTGTTTGTCTAAGAGCCTAGAACTTTAAACTGCGACACTCAATCATATTAACTAGTACCTTAACAATCCCTCCCTTGACTTAAAAACATCTATCTACTATAACTTGTACTAAACAGAACACTTTAAATTTTGAAACCAAATCGTAAAACCAATAATGTTACAAGGACGATGCAAAATATGCGGACACAGTCCCTTGAAACAACGACTGTGGCACCTGGCTACTATACACTTACACGCAGAACACACACACATTAACACGAAGGACATCTGTCATTTTCTTAAGTCTTAGAACGTGGTAACTGAATATACGCACACATAAATAACACGACTGCCTAGTTGGGCGAGTGGTCGCAAATGTGACTGCCGGGCAAGGGGTCTCGGGTTTCGATTCTCGGGTCAGGCAAAGTATTACTGGGTTTTTAAAAATCTCAGTAGTAGCACGGAGTCTGTAAATGTGCCCGGTATATGTCATTAGGCTCACCCTATTACATGGGCCTCATAACATAAATAGTAAAAAGTGGCTGTTACATTGTACAGTGGCATAAAGTGTCGAAATGTGCACCTCTGTCTACCCCTTCGGGGATAAAAAGGCGTGATGTTAATGTTATGTATATAAATACACCACTGACATTTTGGTGCTTCTATAATTTTCTAATTGACATTATGTCCGCCTTTTTGCAACGTCCTTGTATTGTACTGGCGATTTGACTAGTCTTTAATGTATCTAAATTACTACGAGGTCGTGTAACAGGACTGAAACATACAAACAATAAAAAACCATCACAACCGGATGCACTAAACACCTGATTTTAAAATCCACTCAGTGTTCAAATTCAGATACTAAAAGATAGCTGGTACAACGGTGAAACTTAGCTCTCTGTTTAATTTGATATGAAAGAAAGAGATGCGTGTATGGTTAGCATAAGTTATAAAATCTGCATTCAGATCATGTGTGGAGAAGGCACGACATCTATCAAGCTGTCGGTTAAACATCACGTAGAGTCTATAAATAAGGTCCTAATGAGTTGGTCAGACTCTGATTATCCTTGTTCGAAGCCTTCGCTTCCTAGATGGAACACTTCATGCTGATGTCAAGATTTCCCGAGTTCCAATCTTAATTTTATATTTACCCTGAAAAAATCGTAAGTATCTGTGTATACCAATTTCGGCTTCACTTTGATTAAGAGATCTTTTATCTTAGAGATATTACGGAGAATTTTAGGGTTTAAATACCTTACATTCATTAATATTTTGCAATCATAAGAAGTGCGATCGACACACGACGATACGAAATTAAGTTACTAGGTAGGGTAAATTCTCCGAAATTATCTATAAATAGCCCATTCAATGAAGTTCGTATCACATACACACAACTATAGTATAATAAGTTTATCTATTCTCATAAGGCACAGGTAGCGAGCGTCAACGATCACTTACTTAGATATAAGTTGTTTCTGTGTATCCTTACAGCAAAAATCCAACTTGGAACATTATTCAGCAAACCTTACAATTTGCAGACAAATGTTCCCTCAAATGAAGTTCCGCGTCTCTGGACTAGACGCGAAGGCCAAATACATCCTTCTGCTGGACATCGTCGCCGCAGACGACTACAGATATAAGTTCCACAACAGGTAGACCCACAATCATTGCCTGCTGGACTACATCACCTCCCTCGTCTCCACGTGTCTGCTTCTCAATGTACATCGGCCGAGAATTTGGCGTCGCCCTGACGCCACATTGTCGGCTCCACGTTTATAGATATCACCGTTGATTGGAGATGCTCATTCCATTCTAACAGCGTTCCGTTACACGCTTGTTTTCATTTAGCTTGTGATTCTCCCCACGCAATGCACTAGTTCCCATCACGAAACGATTCCGATGCGTTAGTTAATTGCGCTCAAACAATTTGTACGAAACACGCTTAATTTAAGGGCAACGACATCGCACGACAACTGGACTCCGCCAGGATCCGACGATTAAGGATTCAACTCGCATCCAATGGGTAATATCATTAAAATATCTTTGTCTCAAACGCCGCAGCGGTAATGTAAAAAGCCGGGCCGACACCAGAGGTGAGAAATACCGACGCGACTCGTACTGTTCTACCAAATTAACTAAAATTGGAGCTGAACTCGCGGCGACAATCTCCTTGGGAGATCTCGATGACAAAAAATAAGACGAATCTTCCGGGTGCTGTGCACATCCCTCAGAGCTGCATCTGAAATCGATAATCATCGTATTTGATCGTACATTGTTTGATTCCCGATGACAACCCGCGATAAGGTTCGATCTTCCGCTCAGTCGGATCGACTCGGAGTATCAAACGGGCGCAGGTTTGGCAACATCGAGATGCGGCCGATAAACTTCGATTTAATATCCGTTAATTAATACGACCCGAGCATTCCGGTCCAAAATGCGACTGTGAGTCAGCCGTAAACCGATACAGACGCCGACAAAGGCGGCCGCCTAGCGCCGTTAATATGGTAATTAATTATTACAAATCTTTCGTACATAAATTACTTACCAATTACGAGATGGGATTCTAAACGAGGTCCAGACGGTTTTTTTCTTGGACTTGCTTGTATCGGTGAAGTATTCTTGTAAGTTGGTGTAACACCGCATTTGATCACGTGCGTTGGTCACGATTCGCGACACTGCAAAACCGCACAATGGACGCGCTTCTCGCCATTTTTGGTCGTTCGTGGCGGAAACATGGGCTTTTTGTTTGTCGCAAATGGTTTATGACACCTCATCGCGTAGCTCTGATTAGACGAAAAACAATGCGAAACTCGAGCGTTCTAATGAATAATCCATTCGGCTATAAACCTGTCGGTCACCAGTCTATGAAGGCGATATGAAATGAATAAAAGCTAATTAAAAACGGCGTAAGATCACAAGCTAAACACGCGTTTCTTAGTACATGAACATAAAAAGTGAAACTAGTTCAGCAACATGTCTCACAATCGACGTGATGTCAAATCGTTGTCGCAAAAGAACAAGTCCCAACCCATGTTTTTCTCTCGATTGCTTGCAGACGTATGTTTCCTGCCTACAAACTTCGCGTTTCTGGTCTTGATAAAAAAGCAAAATACATTTTGCTAATGGACATCGTAGCTGCCGACGATTGCAGATACAAATTCCACAACAGGTATAAATAAAGAGATGGAATTAAATTAAAATAAGAAAATTGTAGAACACGGGCCTAAGATAGTTGATCTTATTTTAATGTAATTCGTTGATAAACGTGAGGCAAGAAGCATGCGTATTGTTGCAATCATGTGTGATGTTTGAGATCTGCGTTCAGGCCAGGGCTCGGGACAATGCCATCAATATTTACTGCTCTTTCTTTTGCGAGTTACATTTTGCGACGAGATTCCATCGTTGGGGATTTGAGTCCATTTTTTAACCGCATTATCATATTCTGTTACATTTTACATACATTTTGTTTTGACATCGCACATTCCGGTACGAATAATCGTTGCACGCAGATCTTTCATTCACATTGTTTCATATGCACCGTTGTTTGTAGCATTTTGTAGCTTATTATTATCACTTAAAGCATGTATTTCATTATTATACACTGCATGTCTAACGCTTGAGTACGATCACAAGGTTGCTTTCGAAGTAAATCATTATATCGCCAAATTAAAATTGATTTCTAATACCAGTGATGATCAATCAATTGTATCGAGAATTTTCATTAACTAATGAACTATTAAAAAATTCGTGTCAATCGGTCAGTACTTTCTTACAATTATGAAAAGAATTCTTTGATTGATATAATTGGTTTATTAAGTCAATTTAGTGGAAGGCGAAGGTTTTCGTGTGTTCTTGAATTTGTTCGTTTGTTCTCGGAGTCGGTGGATGGTGGCTGGGAAGGCTGACCCTGAGATGCCGAAGAGGATGTACATCCACCCCGACTCGCCGTCGACAGGCGAGCAGTGGATGCAGAAGGTGGTGTCCTTCCACAAACTGAAACTGACGAACAATATTAGTGACAAGCATGGTTTCGTGAGTACCGACTTCTTTTTTAGCTGCGGAGTTGTGGACGAAAGGAACTGGATTTTTTTCTCTTTTGCGAACAAATAGTTCTTAGTAATGTAGAACATGAAATTGAATGTCACAATAAGATCACCAGAGAAATAAAATTAGTCAATAAAATTAAAAAAATCTTTCTAAACATCAAAACAGTGGCTTATACAAGCTCTCAATATAGACAGACACTTCAAAATGTTACAAGACATCAAAAACTTCGGTTCTTTTATCAAGCCACGACTCCTAAGCCCCCATAATACACCACTTCACGCATCCTTAGTTATCAACGAACGACTTACACACAAAAATAGTTACCAACAATAGAATTACAACTGCATCCGAAAAGTAGCAGTCTGATCATTTTTTGTATTATATTTACAACAAAAAGGTTTATAATGTGGGTGATATTATAATTAAAACGAGGTTGGGTCTGTAGGACCCCTGTCGCTGTCTGCGGGGTCCCTTTGTCCAAGTCACGGTTATTACTGATATTTACATTGGGTGCCCATCGTCTTACCTCATTCTATACATTATCACCATGTTAACGTACACTTCAGATGTTTTTTTTATAGTGTGTTGATAGGGAGTCTTATGTTTCTCTGACAGGTTTTAATTTTTGTATCATTTTGTTGTTAATTTATTGTTTATTCGTTGCGGATGTGATAATATGTCGTGAATATTTACATATTATTTTTAATTAGCATTCTACAGATATTGCATAACATAATATATTTAAAAAAAATGTTTAAGTATTATTGGCGCCAAAAAGTATTCATCTGTCAAAATGAACATGAAAGCTGTCAATCACAATAATTAGATGTCTGGACAAGGACAACCCACCATTCAAAATAGGAACCACCCGAAATTCGATTCGAAATGACATTAAAAAAAAATTGCACTGTCCATTTTCAAAAAACGAACAACCGCTACTGTAAAGAAAAAGGCGGGTTCTTTTAGTAACTTACACTTGACCGTTTACACGACCGCGATCCAATCATAGATAACACAATTGTTTTTTTAATTCACTCGATGGGCGCTTGTATTTTTTTTTGTTTCCTTTTTTCGGGATGTCATGCCTTTTGTCTTTGACGAGGGGCGTAGGTAATTGAAATAACGACGGTCGCGGAGAGGTATGCGTAGAATTTTGACAACAGCTGACTACGTCGATGCGAATGATGTATTTTTACGTATTTTTCATCTGTCGCGTATGAATGTATTGTTTGTTATTATTTGTTTATGATAAATCATAAAAATAAGTGACACGTACTTAACTCCTTTATGGATTTTTCTTCCGTCTTGTAAATTGCAAGAGAATATTTAATTTTATAAAACACACGATGTTGTTTATTAATTAACGTAATACATAAATACAGTATTCAACAAAAAACTATAATTAAAGAACATTCCTATTGTTTTCTGTCCCAAAAGCCCCGTTCTCTAACACAAAAAACAGTTTGACAAGATAGATGTGTTTTGTTTTTAAACTTTTTTTTTCGTCCCCTGCTCTGACGAACATGCCGATTTTTGGACGGTCGTCAATATTTCATATAGATATTATCGACACAAGTTAGTAACGATTAATTTGAAATATTAGGCTGTTTAAGTTTTGCCCTTTGCTGTGTGTGAAAAAAAAATCTATTTCAAAGTTTCGTGCCTCTGGTTATTGTTTTTAAGCGGTGATAAAAAATAATATGTTTTATAACAGTGTCTTGTAGTTCAAGGGGTTTCAAATTAATCTTAATAAGATACACGAACTGGGCAAAGCTTTATGGACATGTGTCCTATATTCATAGAATTCAATATATAGTCGAAACTAAGCACTTAAGGGAGAAAATGATATCTTCCCCTTTCCCATATCGACAGTTCTTATGTCATTTGAATATACAAAAAATATATTCCGAACAATTAAAAAAAATATAATGACTCAATCAAACCTTTTATCAACAGGATGATTTAGTCTCCACTAATACCAAGCTAGTCATTACGCAATATAAATTCCAGAACGGTCAAGATTTAGCATATTTATAGGTAAACTATATCAACTAAATAACAGGTTGAAATATATAGTATTACCTAGACTAGATAATAACCTTTGATGACTTAATAATTTTCAATTATACTATATAAAGAGTAGTACATAGAGCAATTGATGTCTATATAATTTTCCTGAAGTAATTGTCGCTTATGACTTATTTTTTTTTTATTGATACTGGCTTTTACATGGGGTTTTTTTTAAACTTTGCCCCACACTAGGATTTTACCCTGTGTCGTGGGTGCGTTTACAAACTTTACAAGTTCACATACACATGACACCCAGACTCGGAACAACAATCTGTGGATCACACAAAGCAAAAGTAAAAAGAACTTTATTCCAAAACCTGACACAGTCGAAAGGAATGTCCACAATAATTCATACAGCCACTAACCGATTCACAAACTAATTAACTGCGCATTTGACAAAATGTCTCTAGCTGCTAATAAATATTTTAAAACAAACGCCCGAGCCTCAGCCGTGAATCAAACCGAGGATATATTGACGGCAATCCGGATTATTTACAACACCTTAAATTTTTATTACCACTGGCAACATTAAGTGAGCCGACAAAACTGTATAGTCGATTTGTATGTCTAAATACTTTTATTTAAAAAAATATTAATCGTGGAGCATTCTGTCAATTGGTATTCGAATTATAAATATTTTGGATAGAGCAATAGTATTTACCGCCAATTTTTAGCTTATGGTGCCGTTTTTTTTTTAACTAACAAGGCACCAGAAAGCTTACATTAGGGACAGTACGACTACTAAATAAAAAAAATAAATTTATGCATTGTTTCTAATTACTTAATTCTATTTACTCATCTGTCAAAGCCCTAAGAACCACAATAACTTTATTGCCGTGCTAAAATCAGGATTGCCGTTACGGTCAAATAAAAATACAATCTAAAGCCGCAAAAAGCGTTAAATTATATTATTGGCGATACCTTTTATCAATCAATCAGCTTTTAATGTATTGCACTCATTAATTATAGTCATAAATACATCAATCGGAAAGGGTGTAATGGCATATAAAATTATTTGTTCTTTTTGACTACTTTGGTTTTTACAAAGGTATTGTTGAAGTGTCGCGTCATTCTTAGTAATAAATTTTAATTACTATTCTGCATTAACAACTTTGGATTATTGGGTAATAAATAATAAAATAATGCATCATAATTAAAAATATCTGTTTTGAAAATTAGGTACAACTAAAAGCTTTTTGCATTTTATACGTTTTCATAAATATCATACTTTTTTTTCCACTTCTAGCACAGATTAAACTCAATCTTGATCATTTAACTTCACTATACTTAGACCAACTTGATCTTTACACAAAGTAACAATAGTAATGACATCAAAACATCTTGATGCTACTACAAAAGCTGCACAAATATCAAGACTATTCATGCCTCTAATCGGGGGTCTATTCTCAAAAGATTTGCGAAAAACATCTTGATTTCACGTTTTGAGGTTACCTTTTTAAATTTGGAAGCTGAGGTAGCTTTAATATGGGGTATTAATTGTCTATGGCTTAAGTATTTCGAGCGTTAAATTCGTTTCAAGTACGTTTTGTTCGACTTACATCTGTTGCTTAAAAAAAAGTTTGAATCTGTATTTTTTGTGAAGTTTTTGAATCTTCGGGTTTGATGTTGTAGATTTTAGACCAAGCTTTAGATTTTAGAGGTTATTTGTTAATTTATGGTATCTACTTTAAGGAATTTAAATTAAACATTGTGTTTAAAATATTAGTTTTAACTTAGATGGTCATTTGTGACGATTAGAAAAATGTTTTGAGTTCATTTGGACGGACAATATTTTCTGCCTTGGCCTTGATAAACTTCTCGAAACACGAGTATCGACAACTTAGTCTCAATATTTTTAAGTACACACATTTCACAAGGGAAAACAATCTCCAAACACATTCAAATAAAGTTCAAAGTTCGTTAAACTGTTACATAATGGCACAGTACCCCAAGTTTACCCCTTATTGGATTTACAAACTTTTGCTTAAGCTACTTAAGGGTCACTTTTAATCACAAACAAATTTTAATGAAACGGAATAATAATATGGCTTCTTTACCTTAAAATTTTCAACTATTTCCCGTAACTTACGTAAACGAATTTTACGTTTAATATGTCAATAGTAGCCATGCTTTCAATGAGGAAATTGGGGAGAGTAAACAACACTTAGCTATAAGTAGTTAACTACCCAGTATTGCCTAACTTTAACTTAACTTGTTAACATTGTTTCTAACTGCGTTCTTTACCGTACCGCCGAAGATGTATTGAATATCAATCTGCTAAATATTCTTCTTTCTCATTCTTTTAAAAGATATCTACCATAAATGTGTATCGATACGTCATCGTATCTTATATAGGAATGTAAAAAAATAAATAATTAAATCTACAAAATTCTTAAGCAGATTTTTTTTATGCCTTAAGCCGGTAAACGAGCAGACGGATCACCTGATGGTAAGCAATCGGCATCGTCCATGGACACCTGGAACACCAGAGGCGTTACAAGTGCGTTACCGGCCTTTTGGGGATTAGGAGTTTTGAGGATCGTTGGGGATTCAGGAATTGGGGAGATTGGGGAATACAAATTATATGTAAGTTCTTATATTATTATAAATAATTAAAAACAGTGTCTAACTCAAAGTTGAAGACAGTTATACCTAAGCAGAATAATATTCACTAAGTTCATCAGATAAAGAATGGAGTCCCGCCATCTTGCTACTGATAAATTCGGTAATAAACATGAAATTATAAGATCACATTTAAAAGTCACGTTGACAAGACGGCCAATAAAACTGACATACTATATACTCCTGTAAATACAAACTGGGCTACAAAGGCTTGGACCGGTGTTCGCTCAAGCATCGAAGGCCATATGTTCCGTAATTTATGTACAGTTATTGATCAAAAGGTGATGTCCTTT